TTAAATTTAGAATTTTAGATGGTTAAATCAAATTTGTCCCGAATTCCTTGGGTTGTGTGGGTTGTGGGCTTTAAAATGAAAAATGAGTTTAATTTATAGGTTATCTAGTCAAAACTCATTAACTCAAAATGAGAAGCCCAAAAGGAAATAGGTAAAAAGTCCAGCTGCCAAACAGAAAATAAAATCGAGATTTTACCTGATTTCACAGTACCGTAAAATCTCAAGATTTTATGAATTTCATATTTTAGTATAGATTTTACACGAAATGTCTTGCTGAAATTGTAAAATCGTAAGATTTTAAGATTTAAATCTAGATTTTGACAACAATACCGATATTTACCGACACTGTAAAAATCTCATTCTTCCTTTCATAAAAATTATATATTGTTCAAAATATCTCATTCTCCTTTCCTGAAAAATTATACATTGCTAAAAAAAATATACATAGAAATCGTGTGAGATTTCAATTAATTTATAGTTGAATTATATCAAAATTTACAAAAAAATAAGTTCTTTTAGTATTTTTATTTTTATTTATAAGATTTAAATTAAAAATTTAATTTTAAAAAAACTAAATTATTTCTATTTAAACCAGCATGTTGATAGTAATAAGTAATTTTTTTTTTTTATATCAAGTCAACAACGACTTGCTGTAACCCATGAAGCAAGGTTCCCTTACTAATAATTTAAGGGGAAACTTCTCAGTTAGTTAGTAGTCTAGTCTTTCTACCAATGAAGCTTCCATTGTATTTCCCTATTTAAAATTTTGTTCGAAGTTTCATATATATGACAATTTAACAATGATTCAGAACGATCTATAATCAACAGGCTATTGATAGGTTGGTCGTTGATCAGTGCATTTTTTATTTTTAACATTTTTTTATTAATTAAAGTACACTTTAATTTGAATTATGATGTAAATTAGAGATTAAGATTGCTTGAAAAATAATTAAATTTGAAATGTGTGTAAATTGACACAGATACATTATGGTTGTCCAAACTAGAGAAAAAAAAAAACGTAAATTAGTCATGAGTTTGTAAGGACTATTTATTTAATGACAAGAAAAATTCAAAATTTAGAATCTTTTTTGCTGTGAAATAATATTTTTCTTTACATAAATTATAACGTTATGTGTAATTGTGGGTTTTTTAAATTTATTTATTTAAGTACAAATTAAGAATTATATTTTTATTATTAATTTATATTAAAAAATTATTGACACTAATATTATATAAAATATTTTAATTTAATAATTTATAAAATTAAAATTAATTTTTATTTTTTTTATATAAATTAATAATAAAAAATATAATGAATCAACCTTAAAACTTAAGTTAAAATTTTTTTATTTTTTAATATATCGAATAATAATATATCATATAAAAAGATATAATTTTTTATTTTTTTAATTTTTTTATTCAAAATTTGAATTTTTAAATTTTAAAATTTAAATTTTAAATTTTTAACTATTAAGCTATTCATTGAGTTGTGTTAAAAAATTCCTATAATCATACACAATATATTTATATCATCATTTAAGCATTTAGAACAAGAAATCTCGGAGAAAAATCGTGCTCCACAATTTCAAAATTTATATATAACGTTAGCTTTTTAGATCTTTAAATTATTGGACCTGGATCTCATTGGCCCTTCAAAAATAGTTATTGGGCTATAATCATACACAATATATTTATATCATCATTTAAGTATTTTTTTAACAAATTTATAAGGGGTCGAATTTGAACTGTTATTTAAAAAAAAGTGATGTCCTTTAAACGTGACTTAACGTTACTAGATCGGAAGGTCTAAGTGTATCATTTAGGCATTTAGAACAAGAAATCTCGAAGAAAAATCGTGCTCCACAATTTCAAAATTATATAACGTTACCTTCTTAGATATTTAAATTATTGGACCTGGATCTAATTGGCCCTTCAAAAATAGTTATAGGGCCGGATATGCTTCTTCATCGAAATTCGGGGGGGATTAAGACAACAAAAGACCTGTGCGTACGTTTTTGACACTTTGCCGTCTTTATCACTTTTTTGGTCCAAAGGAAGCTTCCGACTTTTTCTTTTCACCTGTCCACAACTAATAGGACGGACTGGTGCATTCCAGGTCGCATCTTTCGGCGCGGCATGAGACGTGCTCACACGCCTCTTTCCTACCAAAGACAAGAGCCGGCCCTCACCTCCTTGCATTTTCACCTTTACTTACATGGTAAGTAACTAATTATACCTTTCACATT